AATCAACTGACAATAATAGTTGTAACGATATTGATTTATATTGATAGACCGTTGTTAAATTCGGTGAAAAACATATTTGTTTCAAGAACAACACAGTGATACCAAAGCAATTCCAAAAGTATTGACGTTCGACTTTTTAATATATTATTAGTATTTTTTTTTTTTAAGTATAGGTAACTAAAAATATTATAAATTATCTTTTATTAGGTATTTGGAATTGATATACGAGATTTCAAAGCATCCGTCAAATTTTATAGCTTCTATGGCACTAATGTTTTGGCAGTCAGCAATTCACCATGCACATATCTCTAAGGTGAATTATTATTTACTATTTTATAGCAATTATTGGTTCGCATCTAGATTATAATTCAATACAACCTTTAATTAGACATTTAAAGAACAAGATCAGTTATTATTAACGCTTTTAGAGCTATTTGCAGAGAGACTTAGGATAGTAAGTGAAAAGTATACCTTATTATGTAAGCTTGATATCTGATCTTAGATGCTAAAAGTTGATGCATTAATTTATTTTAAAGTTGTTCCAAGAAGATGATGCCGATAATAAAATTACATATTACATTGACATGGATTTTGATTCAAGCAATGAATATAGAGCTTTTGCTTTAGCTTTTCGCACGAGACTTGTTGAAACAATAAAGTTAATTACTCAGATGCGGCCAATAGAAACTTTCACTTGGATAGTGAATAGAATCCAAAAAACCTTAAATATAAATCTAGAAGAAAAGGATTTAGATGGTAAGTTATCATAAATCTATGTTTTCACAAATCTTATATTTATTGTGGCAGATTATGATGAATTGGTTGATGCTGAAATTTGGGTTCTTATTTAAATTTATTATAAAATCTACATATACTCTTTTATTAACATTCTAACCCTAAACTCTAGCCTGATATAAAAAAAAAATTCAACAATTTCATAATAAATAAGTAAAATTTTAGCATCAGGCAATTTTAGCATCAGCTGCCACATTCATTCCAGTCTGCAAAAGATATAACACATTTATTTGTCCTTTTAGTTGATGGTGTCTGTAAAGCAGACTCCTCAGCTTACATTATATTTGATGCGGAATTGACATTGATGGATTCTATAGTTACTGGGGTCGGAAAATTGATAAAATCTAATGAAGACCATGACGTATGACCACCTCGCTATATTTGCTTAATTTTATAATATTTTTCAAAGTGCTTATTTCAAAAAAAATTTAAATCTTACGAAGACAAATTATGCTGAAATCAAGAACGGAATGAATAACTTGCTTCAAATGCTATTGAATCTTAATTACCCGGTGAGCAACTATTTTAATGCAAGAATTTTTATTTACATATTTCATAAATCTAATGTAATTTAATAAATAGGACGTATTAATATCAAATAGATATTTAGCTTCTATGCTATCATTTGTAGATATGCTAAATATGGATTCGAGACTATTATTTCAAGTTTTACAAAAGGTGATGCTTTTCTATGCTAATTAATTCATATGTTTAGGCATTAGATAGTAAACGTTTTCATTTGTATCTACAGATATTTCAGTTTGCTATATTTCGTCCTCCCGGTTTTATTATTTCACCTGCATCCACTTTTCCAGATCCCGTTTATCGATTACGATGTGGAGCTGCTGCAATATTGATAAAGTTTGGCACATTAATGCCCGATGTTTTAATGGTTGGCTATATTTTTAATATTATTAATCAAAAAATATGAGCTTAAGTCTCTAAGTTTCTATGGATTTTCCTATTAGAACATATATAATGATATTGCAGGCTATGTGAATAATATTATTGATACCGGAAATAATTTGGTTAAGAGAAAAGAAAAAGTGTCATTTAAAAAATTTTTGCTTTGCATTATGTAAGTATGTATAGAACATAAATTCCTTAAGCATTTTTGTTCCTTATTTTAATGTATTGTATTTGTTTCAGATATTATTCTAAAATTCCGTTAGAACAAAAAAAGGCACTCTTTGATCCAATAGTGTTACCGATAATGAATGAATGGCATTCTCCTGATATAACCCGTTTTATTACTTCAATAACACAATTTCGTGACGCTTCGGGCCTAAATTTTTTGTCTTCAATTAGTATGCAATATGATTTATCTGGAATTTATTGTTATCATATCCCATTTATATATTTAAATTCTTTCACTTTTTTCCAGTAATCAATATGAAACAAAAAGGCACCTACAAATCAAATTCAAAATTTTCAAAAGAACTTCATGAAACTATAGCATGTTATGAATCGGCGCGGTACAATGTAAGCACTATCATCTCTAATTCCAACTGTTACATATAAATGCGTACTTAATTATCCTCGTTTTCAATCTTTTAAAGTTGACATTATTGGTAGACACAGTGATAGCTTTCCTTGTAAAGTCACCGGAGGTACAATCTTTAAATATTAATTTAATTTTGAAATAAATAAGTTCAAAGTATTAGTGTAAAATTCATTACATATTAACTTTAACAGGCAATTTCAAGTTCTGTATATTCAGGATTATGGGAGCAATATGTACCAACGATATTGTTTGCAATATTGGCACTGATACGGTATTAAATAGTGCAAAAGAGTACTGAGTATGTCAAATTTCTTAACTAAAACTTGGTTCATTTCATGTATAGAATTATTCATCAGCTATGGAAAATCGAATCGTGGCAAGAGTATCCAGAAGAATTACAGAAAGTGTTGAGATTGAGCAAAGAGGATAAAGCAAGCATTGTGGGTAGATATTATACTTACTATTACCTGTATCTTGACCAAAAACATCCTTAGTTTGACAATCATAATTAATCTCATATTTACACATAAAGGACAATCAATAAATATTCCAGCAACCGTCTCTAACAAAAAGTCTTATACAATAGCTAGTATGTTTGATCAGATACACAAATGGTTATACACTATAAGGACTGACGGGTATTCTAATTATTCATTTTTAATGTATATTTATGAAGACTTATTTGAATTGACATTGTTACTTTTAAATAGTTATCATATTCTTGGTCGACTAGCAGCATTTGGACCAGCATTTTATTCCATTCCAAATGCACATGAATCTATTATGCAATCTTTGTTTGAAAATGCTGAAAGTATTGATAACATTCATTGGAAAATGCTGCTTAATATCCTTTATATATTATAATTATTTACAATTGTATATTCATAAATTACATTTATTACATCTGTATCTAATTTACATTACACGTTATGTGTTCTTGACTGTCGATATTTGATCTTGTACCCCTAGTTGTCAGGCCTTATATCCTTAAATGTCCAGTACCCGAAGCCCTTTCAGGGTTCTTCCCACAATTATTAAAATTTCTGGATAAAAAGTTGGTATTAGAATGGCGAATTTTGGCTGAAAAAGGGATTCAAATCTCAACATCAGAAACGTATGTTTTATAACTTCATCAGTCTGACGTTTAATATTTTTATCAGAAATTATTGACGTTATTTTATCATTTTTATTTTATTTTATTTTATTTTTGATGTAGAGCTCAATTATTACAAGATACTACTAGTGATATATCAGACGAAATAGTGAATGAACAGGTGTTAAGGGATTTGACCAGGGCTTTTGTTGATATATTTGACCAAATATTCCTACCAGTGTCTAAAAAACAAGCAATTGGTATCATTTACGAGTTTTATATGCTGCATTGCTTTTCTTTCCAGATTAAATGTCGCTTTCTTGTTTAGATAAATTTATTAGTTCATTAATAACTATAATTTATTCTATTAATAGGTGATAATACATCATCTATATTAGATAATAATGCATTAAAAGAATATATGCTAAATCATATGGTGAGAAATTTTAATTAGCATGTCATTCATTCAAAAATATTTGTTGATTTTTTTTTTTTAATATTTCAAATAGCCAATTACTGAGCCTTTCTTGATGAGCTTGTGTCATCTCTTGACTTTCAAAGATACAGTATCATGTGCACGAACAACTCAATTATGTGCTAGAATATTACCGAATCTGATAAAACATGAAGGGTTGAGAGGATTTGTTGGAACTTCTTTATTAACTGCTGCATTGCAGGTAACAAATGTTAAATCTTGGCAACCTCCCGAAGTGTACCACTTTGGGATTGAATATGAGCTTAAAGTCAGTGTGGTGTACATTTATATAATAATTTTATAAGCGATATTAGAAGACAAGAATGATCCCCAGCGCATTCGGAGAGGTTGTCTTTATATTGTGAAATATTAAATTAATTTGTTAAGGTCCATTATTTCTATTTTTCAATGTACTTTTAGGCTTTACATGATGGATATCATAAAGAATCCCATTCTACAATAATTTCTTTTATTACCGATCTTTACGTAGATTTGAGACCCTTATCATCTGTTCCTTATGAAACCTTTGCACAATTGCTAAATATGGATCATGTTCAGTTGCAGGTAATGCTTAAAATATAACAAGAGTTATAACGTTCAACTTGTCAATTTTTCTATCATTTATTGTTAAACAATGCCATCGTTTGTAGAAATTTGAAACGTCCCTAGGTCAAGCATCCGAAAGCAAAATTTGTAAAAAGAAAGTTAAAGAGTTCCTTGAAGGAATAACAGGGGTATGTTTTAATATGTGTTTAGCATTCTTTTTATTTATTTATTATTATTTTTTAATCTGAAAAATACTAACATTAGTATTTGTTACTTATAACAGCTTTCTACAGAGGAATGGTTCAAAATACCTGATACAGCACCTATGAGTTCAACCCGTAGAAAAATTTCTGGTGTTTATTCAAAGCCTGAAATTGGAGTTTTGGATGTAGTTGAGGATCCTTACGATGTTGGAATTGTTGATTTGTTTGATTAGACCAATTCTTTACTTATGTGAATGTCTAAAACATAAATTGTGCAGCTGACATAAATGTATATTGCATAAAAAATGTGTTGGGTAATAATACTTGAATGGAAAAGCAAGTTGGCATTTGGATAACTGCAGTTTAACTTTCTCAGATATAATATGTTAATTTGTCTTTAATGTGCATTTCTAATTATTTGAAACGAGTCGAAAATTAATTCATGTGCAATCTTGTAAATAATTCTATGAATGTAGTAAAATTGAATAATGAACCTTTTGATAACTTTCTTTAATAATAACATACGTCTTTTAGTACCAAAATCGAGTCTGAAAAAAATATAAATCCCGTCATTAAAACTAGACAGGTGTATTTTAAACATTATAATTATTCTGAAATTGTTAGGGTCTACTAAAATTGGTTTTTCGTTTAACATTAGCATTTGACCCGAATATGAAGTTAATTAGAGTTCAAAGAAAAACGATAATAGAACATCAATTTTATGTTTAAAATTTTCATTATTGTACCAATATTAACATTATATTATTAATTTGATGATGAGAATTTCTTATGTCTGTCGTTTATGTATGTTAGTCTTTACCATATGCATTAATTAATCGGTTATTTTAATAACGGTAATGAATTTTAGAAGAATGTGTTCATGTTCAGCCTAAACCTTTCTCAAGGTTCTGCCACAAATCCCGACACCCAAAATCTTGAAAGCCATAATCACGACGTGACAATTAATATTTAAAGATTAGTAATCACATTAACGTTAACAATCATTGTAAGACTTTAAATTTTTAATTGTCACGTCGCGTGACAGTATTATGGCCTGTCGAGTAGGGATGTTAAATTGCGAATCCAGTCCGGTCCGATCCTAGGATCTAAAAAGACGGTCCTGGATTCGGTCTTGAAAA